TTTTTATTGTAAGATACTTTTTGACATTAAATGTGAATTATTCAGTCAGTAGATGTAGTTCCTTCATATGAAGGTGAACTATTGAGCTTCCAAAAAACAGTGAAAACACACATAACTGTATACCAGGGGTAATTCTACGATAATAATGATCCAGCAATGCAACACAAATGAATCGCAGAAACAACGCAGTCAAATATAAGAACACAACTAAGTGTGTAATCTTTATATAGTCCTTCCTGCCGACTGTCATTTCAACAGGACGTCCCAGGCCCCCTGTTTGCTTGTGGTCACCAAGATGGCTGTGAGTCTTATCCCTGTTCAGCCACATTAGCTGTTATGATGCCATGAAATATCGGAAGACATATCGCAACATACTAAGTACCTTCCTACCCTCCCCTCACTGTCCTACTAGGATTATATTGAAAACAAAAATATTATCAACCTAACTATAAGTTAATATCAAAAAGGAACGTCTTAAGTCTAATCTTCAAGGTACAGAGAGTATCCGCCTCCCGAACTGAGACTGGGAGTTGGTTCCATAGGAGAGGAGCTTGATAGCTAAAGGCTCTGCCTCCCATTCTACTTCGGTGGACTCTAGGAACCACAAGTAAACCTGCACTGTGAGAGTGAAGTGCTCTGTTAGGATGATAAGGCTCTATGAGGTCTTTAAGATACGATGGAGCCTTGTCATTAAGGGCTTTGTATGTTAGGAGAAGGATTTTAAATTCTATTCTGAATTTTACAGGGAGCCAGTGGAGAGAAGCTAATATGGGAGAGATATGATCTCTCTTGCTAGAATTCAGTGAAACATTCTGAATAAGGGGCAGGTGGGCGGTATACATTAACAAATAGAACTGCAACTCTGTGTCCTGGTCTCAACTCATAATTTAGGTTGGCCAGGAAGAAACATTGATGTATTTTCTAAGTGTAGTATATTTATCACCTGTCTAGGTCTTCCCCTTGATATTTATATCCACATCACCAGAGGGCAGAAAACGGCAGGCTTTGTTCACCACTGAGCTGCTTTCATAGGTGCCTTGTCACTCGGGAAAGTCCAAAGTATCTGGTTGTGCAGGATTCAGAATGTCTAAAGTCCAAAGTATCTGGTTGTGCTCAGGTACATCCATCGCCCGTGCTTGCGAGTGATGGAGGCCATGTTGGTTGCTGCAGTGACAGCAACAGTGTCATTCACCATGATCTACTTAGGATTCAGAATGTCTAAATTTAGTCAACTGCTTTGTGTGTCAGGTACATCCATCGCCCGTGCTTGCGAGTGATGGAGGCCATGTTGGTTGCTGCAGTGACAGCAACAGTGTCATTCACCATGATCTACTTCTCCAATGACTGTCAGCCTCTGGGACCAGAGGACACTGAGGAGTACCCACTGCAGGTACATCACTCTGATCAGCAGTCTGCAAACAGTGTCTTGTTAACTTTTCACTTGTAATAATGTGATGTGCCGAAGTCACAGATACATAGTGGCTCAAGCACAACAGTTTTAAGTTGCACATCAAAGATTAAGATGTGCTCATTGATATTTATGGCTCTGAGTGAAACGTCACTTAGTTTGGTCAAATTTTAAATTTCATTTAGTTCATTAGGTTCATGACCTGCAAAATGTTTCCTTCAGTCTCACCTGCACTTTGTTCGTAGACTGAATTAGCAAGTGTTAGCATTTGAACATGCTAAACTAAGATGGTGGACAGTAAACACTGTATGTGCTTAACATTAGAATGGGACACAAATTCTGTGTTTGTGTGTGTGTGTTTGTGTGTGTGTGTGTGTGTGTGTAACATACTTGGCCAATAAAAGTGATGATTATTATTATATTATTAACTTTGTCATTATGAACATGGTAGCCTGATTTTTAGCTAGGGCTAGGTGATGTAGACTAAAAACTATTTACTACTAACAATATGAAAATATTACCATTCAACAATTTTTGGCCTACAAATCACATCGGCATCAGTCCTTAACAGCTGTGCAAAAGAAAACCGTTATCAAAGAAGTTTATGTAAAAAAAACAAAAAAAAAAAACACGAAATGTATTCCCAAATCCCTCTTTGCCAACAGTTTGGATTGGCATCATGCCTTTGGTTCAGCAAAATGCCTCCTCCTCCTTCAGTTTGTTCCAGCTTTAACTTCTTTTATCACTGACAAATGGGTTGATGGACAACACATTGGGCATGCACATCCAAAAAGCTTAGGCGGGTGCTGGACCGACCACCAAACAAGCTAAAGGCGAAAAGCAGATGAAAAATCTGCACTAAAGTTCCAGCAGCCTTTTTTTGACAATACCAGAGGAAGATTTCTATTAGATCTTAGCTTTGCACTTGGCGTCACAGACGGCTGCCTCGGTTCTGTACCAGAAACAAATTCCTTGTGTGTAACATACTTGGCCGATAAAGGTGATTATCGTTATCCTTAAGATTTGTTGTCTGTTTTTACCTTAAATGTACTGACAGTACCAGTTTGCTTACTTGTCAGTCTAACATTATCTGGCTTTCCTCATAGTCTACCCAGTGTGTTTGCTTGAAGTGGTGTGACAACACTGATGTTTTCACCTTTTGTTTGGGCTTCAGACATAACTTGCTAGTCTCGAATGTTTGAATTACATCTGATCTCTCATAGCCAAACCACAAAGGAAGCTCCCTTTTCCAGAATTAATTCTTCCCCCGGGCGAGCTCCATTTTCCACCATGCTTGTTCTGTTTGTAGGCACATGTAAGATGCCACATTGTGTTGTATACTGATGTCGTCATCATCATGGAGAGGAATTATACCAGTAAGTCATGGACGATACGAAAGAGCTGCTAGCATCACTGTAGACTTATAGTCTTGTTCAGATATTACAGGCAATGCTAGATTTAAATACTAAATAATACATTTTATTAGGTCTTGTTTAAAGACTATTTTTACATGTTAATAGATGCATTAGACAAAATACTGGGGCAGAGATGAGAGTGACGTGGCAAAAGGAAAAACTCAGGTCATCATGTTTACATTTTATGCTCTCTGAACTTGTGTTTTATGACAGCACCATGTATGATTAGCAGTCCTGCATTGATTATCCGTTTTAATGCCCTGTGTTGTAGAATCGTGTGTCAGATGACACCTAAAAGCTTCA